AAGAGATTTTTTTTTTTTTTTTAAATCCTCATGTTCAAAACCAGTGAGGCCTCACTGATATAGCTCAGTGGTACTGCACCTGCCTCACAAGCTCAAGGTCCAGAATTCGATCCCCAGTATCCAAAACAAAATAAAAACAGTGGGACAGGAAGATGCAAGATGCGTTTAAGAAAATGCTAATGTACTACTCATTGAACCCTTGTTATGTGCCAGCTGTTCTATCCCTGAAACCTTCAAAGTAGCTAGGTGTTGGAGATTTTTATCACCTGAGGCATAGATGAAAATGGGTTTGGAGATTGAAGGGCAGTTTTGTATTTTGAGGGTTTTTTTTTTGGTACCAGGGATCGAACTTGGGTCCTTGCTCTTGTGAGGCAGGCGGCGGAACCACTGAGCTAAATCCCAGGACCTGAAGGGCAGTTTTATGATCACCCAGATGGTTGAGTCCAGATTTAAACTTAGCCTTTCTTTCCTTCTTTATTTTGGTACCAGGGATCAAACATAGGTCCTTGCACTTTCGAGGCAGGCAGCAGAACCACTGAGCTAAATCCCAGGCCCCTTAAACTTAACCTTTTTCACCATGTCCACATCTAGATGTGCTCTAGGGGGCGGGGGATTTGGCTCAGTAGTTCCACTGCCTGCCTCGCAAGTGCAAGGACCCAAGTTCCATCCCTGGTACCAGAAAAAAAAAAAAATGCGCTCTAGTTGGAGTGTGGTTGGGGGCACAGCCTGATGGTTGGACCGGCCGGGTGTGGTGGTACACACCTGTGATCACAGCACTTCGGAGGCTGTGGTGGGACAATCCCAGGTTCGAAGCCAATGTGGAGAAGGGTTGGACAGGATGAAGAATTCTTGCTACCTTCCTTATAAGGACACCGTGGCAGCCGTACCTCCCAGTCAATCAAAGCAGAGTCTGAAAGCCTTACATTTAGCAGCCTGAGCCTGCTTGACTATCCAACCCAGCCTTCCCTGGTCCCTGCTCTGCTGCCAGGGGTCCTCCTAGCTAATGCCTCACACTGAACTTATGGTGAGGGCCTTAGCACACACTCAAATCTCTTAGCCATTTGTTTTTGTTGCTAGAAACCAGGGCCTTGCACACAGAAGGACAGTGCTGTACCATGAGCTATATCGCAAGCCCCTCATCCGCTTAAGACAAAGTCTTCTATGTTGCCCAGCCTGGCTTGGAAATACTGAGCTGAAGTGATCTTTCTGCTTCAGCCTCCCTAGTGGTGTGGAATACAGGCTCTCTATCCGAGGCCATCCTTTTTTGTTTTTGCTGAATTGGCTCATTCAGTAGCCAGAGTTCTTTTTAAATGCCAATCATGGTTGTTACCGTGTAGTTAACTGCTGTTACTAACACATGCCACCCTGTAGACTTCACTTTCCTTTAAAGAGCTTCTACTTTTGGAACAAAGTTGCACAAACTGATTCAAAGTAGTGAATGAAGACTTTTATGAGGGAAATAGTTGTAGTGGTAATCAGGGATGGCAGGATTTGAAAGGCAGCCCTCCATACGCTGAGGCAGGAGGATCTCGAGTTCAGAGGCAGTTTGGATTATATACACTCGCAAAACGAACAAGATCAGAATTTTGTACCTGAAAGATTTCTCCAGAGTGGGTGGACTGATCTACAGAATGAATGAACAGACCACCCCTGGTCACCACCCAGCATGGAGCTCCGTACACGCGCACACGCTGGGCTGATCCTTTCCTCTGGGTGGTGTCGGCTGCGCGAGCAACCTCTGGACCTTTCAACAGCCGCTTAACACCTGGCCCCGCCCCTTGCGGCGACCCTCTCGCTCCGGGGGCGGGGCCTGGAGCACGTTCGGAAGCGCGCGCCACGGGCAGGTTATACGCATGCGCAGAAGGCGCGAGCGCGAAGGCGGGAAAAGATGGAGCGACTCGAAGTATGTGCCGCTGGTTTCCTTAGTGTGGGCGGCGGGCAGACGGGCAAAGAGTGACCGCTATGCTGGGCCCTCCCCGCAGTCCTGACCACTTTCCTACTATCCGGGCCCCTTCGCATCCCACCTGTCCCCAATTTCCTGAGGGACCAACCCAGGGCCCTGACTGACTGACAGGGGAACAGTGCGACTTCCTCCCACGGCGCCCCTGAGGGTCCGGCCCACGAAGCCTGGCCTGGCCGCTCTGGGGCGCCCTGCGGGTTCCCCGTCTGCGTCCCATAACCCCTCCACTCAGCACCCCACCTGCCCACAGGCAGACCAGGCCCGTGCAGAGTTGAGTGACCAGGCGTTGCCGGCCGTGGCGGAGGGTGAGGAGCAGCTAATCTGTGAGGACAGCTGCGCCACCGAGAAACCCGGCGGGGGCTTGGCGAGGTGAGTACTGGCCCAGGGGTGGGCCCCACACCCCAGCCCTTAGTGTCTCCCCACCCCACTCCTGTACCAGGGATCAAACTCAGGACCTTGCGCTTTCAAAGCAGACGCGCTGCCACTGAACTAAATCCCTAGCCCTGTGTTTTCATTTTGAAGCAGGATATCTGTAAGTTGCCCAGGCTGGGTTCGAACTCAAGATGGGACTGGGTCATGCACCACCAACCATGCCCAGTTTTCTTGGAGCTCCTGTTTCAGGGTGGCTGGAACATCCTCAGTGCCAGGAATGGTGCTGGGTGCTGGAGAAAGAAGAAGCAGTGAGCTGACACCACAGAAGAGGAGACAGCACATCCTCAGTAGTGTGATCCTCAGCACATCCCGCTGTGTGCATGAGACTTAGGTCAGGACCCCATGATGCTCCTCTGCCCCTTCTCCAGGCCAGCCTTCCATGAAACAGCATGGTGTTTACATAGATCTTATGCATATTCCTATACATTTAAAAAAATTTTATGTTTGCAGCACTGAGGATAAAACCCAGGGCCTTCTCACTGAGCTACATCTTAATCCTTTTCTTATTTTGTTTTTCAGACAGGCTCTCAGTTATGTCACCCATGCTGGCCTTGAATTCACCATGTAGCTGTGGCTGGCAAATATGCGTAGATCCTCCTAAACATGCCTCAGCCTCCTAAGGGCTGGAAGCATGCACCACCACACCTAGCATTGAAACTTTATTTATTTATTTTTGTTTAAAACTTTTTGAGCATCATGTAGATATTCAGTTTAATTGTGCTCTGTGTTTTTGTGGGGCTGGTACTGGGCATTGAACTGAGGGACACTCTACTGCTGAACTACATCCCCATCCCTTTTCATTTTTTACTCTGAGACAGACAGGGTCTATATTGCTCAGACTGACCTTGAATTTGTGATCCTCCTGCCTCAGCCTCCCAAATGCTGAGATTACAAGCATGTGCCACCATGCCTGGCAGTCAGCCTTCTGTGTACTCAGGTTTCATACTGGCAGTTCTGTGTCCAAGGATGGAAAAAAATCATTAGTACTGGACATTTTTCTAGTTATTCTCTAAACAATAACACAGTATTAATGCTAATAGAATTTACTATAGCTCATGGGAAGATATTTGTATGTTCTATGCGAACACTATGTCATTCAGACTTGGGCATCTGCAAATTTTTGTTTGGGTTTTTTGTTTTTTGTTTCTTCCCAGTAGTTTGTGAGGGCCAGGGATTTAGCTTAGTGGCTCTGCCACCTGCCTCAAAAGCACAAGGTCCTGGTTTCGATCCCTGGTACCAAAAAAAAAAGTACCTAGTACCTTGTGAGGCAGGCTCAATGCTACTGAGCTAAATTCCCAGCTCTTGTTTTTGTTTTTGAGACAGGGTCTCACTATGTAGTTAGTCTAGGCTGGCCTTGAACCCACTATGTACCTCAGGCTGGCCTCAACTCAAACTCACAGCAATCCTCCTGCCTCAGCCTCCCAGGTGGTGAAATTACAGGGGTGTACCACTGTGCCTGGCTTACGTCTGCAAATTTTGGTATCCAAGGAGGTCTTGCAGATAATTCCTGGTGGATACGGAGGCATGATTGTACCTGGGAGGAGAACTGCTGGGGCACAGAAGAGAAGTGCTCAGGTGCCTGTCTTAAAGATACCCCGGCTACTTTGTGGAGAGGGTCTGGGAGGATGGATGGAGTTGGAGGTCCAGCAGCTGTTAGCATCCAGCCAGGAGAAAGGGAAAAGCTGAGGAAGTAGATGACAGGGATGTCTCCAGCCATGGTGTGCTGGAGCAGGCTCCTCCCTGCCTGCCAGAGCTGATTGCACATACTTCCTTCCAAGCTGGCACATAGTCACTTCATGTTGGTAGTTTGACGGTGGCTCTGGTGGGGGTCTTTGTACTATGGCTGCTAGCAAATATTACAAATCAGGTCTCTTCCCGATCCCCAAAGCCAGTTGTTCAGCACTTACGGCAGGCCTTTGCCCCCAACTTTCTGGCTTATAGTTTCTCACAGGTACTGGCTTCTGCAACAGAGAAAACGCAAGTTCCATTTTTGCCCTTGTTTTTGTTTTTGAGGTGCCTGGGAGCATCCACATAAATATGTATAGCCCAGTGGATTTTCTGATCCAGAACTCAGGGTAGGGCAGGGGCTGGACATGATGGCTGGGGCAGTCATTGTTTTGGTGTCAGCTGTGGGATGAACAGGTCCACATAGGGACAGTATGAGGCGTGGCTTAGGACAGGTCCCTGAGGACTCCAGATACAAAGCGTCCCCTGTCTATCCCAGTCCTTGATGGAAAAGCAGAGTGGAATGGTTTCCAGTTCTGTGCCAGCAAGTAGAGACCAGAGAGGGAAGAAATGACTACAGTCTGATAATCTTGCTCCAGATAGAACACTTAGACCTGAGTTTGTGTGATGAAGAGACAGACATTGCAGATCACTTAAAGATTTCAAGGAGCTCCACAACAGCGTTGGGCCAGAAACCAGATGGATTAAAAATCAGTGCAGGGGCCAGTTAATAGATCCAGCAGCAGCCACTCAGCAACATGATTAAAATGTTAACACATTTCAGGGGCGAAAAGTAGAGGGCGAGGAAGCAGCTCATCAGCTTCAATTCAAACCTCCCCCTTCCTGGCAGTACTTCAGCAAAACATGGCTGTGCCCAAGTGCCAGGGATGCTGTTGTGTTCCTCCTCATGTGTTTGATTAGCCTGTCTCTCCTGGGACTGTACCGCCTGTGGTGGTCAGAAGTGGCTGGCGGATTGTTTATTTGTGTATCTGTTTGAGGCCACACAGGGAGAGGACAGCAGCGGGTGGTGCTGGCGCACATGCCTGCCAATCACAGCTTTACCTGGAGTGAACAGATGGGCTTTTCGCTTAGACCCATTTTCCGGGCCCCCTGCCAGACTGGGCCTTGCCAGGGAACTAGGTCCTAATCCTCAAAGCCGAATCAGGGACTCCTTGGAAGGACAGACATAATGGATGAGTGCAGTGATGTGTTCAGAGCCCCCAACCCCCACCCTTCTCCATGCAGGCCACACCAGGCATGCTTGGGTCAGACTTGCTTCCATTCTCTGGCCTTGCTCCAGAAGCTGGCCTGGGAGCCAGGGAAGCCAGCAGAGAGGACACCATGCATTTTGTTTATTAAAGCTAATTGGTGAATGCAGACCCAGGAAAGCCTATGATTCATTAGCATCCTGATTAATATGCAACTGCTGAGTATTAAGAAAAATGAAATAGAAAGGACCAAATCTACAAAGGAGAGGTTGGAAAACTAAAGAAGCTCTCAGCAGACATCTGACACAGGCCTTTGTCCTGCCACAAAATTGGATTTAGTTGAATTCAAGTGATTTTTCACAATTTGTATAGAGGCCATGAAAACCCCTTATAGCCTCAGCCTTTGAGCCTTAGAAAGGAGTGTCTCCTAGCAGCTAGCAGCTCAAGCAGGTTGTGAACAATGACACTGAAAGAAACTCCTGTTTATATCATTGCTTTTAATTTCAGGGTCCTAAACTCCTGCGGAGGTTGAGACAGAAAAACTTGCAGGTGCAGGCAGGTGTGCCAGCAGGAGTGTTAGAACCAGCTCCACTGTCTATTCATTTAGATATTTGGCAAACATTTCTGAAGGCTCTCTGGTACTGGAAAGCACAGCTGAGCAGAATGCAGCAGTCCCATCCTCAGGCCTTCATGTGCACCAAAGTGGACCACTATGCATAAACAAGCCTCTCCACGGCCAAGATGGCCAAGAGTAGTGGAGTGGGTGGAGGAGTGGTAGTTCCAAATGTTTTTTGAGATAGGGCCTTGCTACATAACCCAGCCTGACCTCCAGTTCTCAGTGATCCTCTGCCTAGCCTCCTAAGTGCTGGGATGACAGGTGTGTGCCACAGTGCCCAACAGAAGCTCTACATATTTCTTCATTGTGAAGGTAGTGGAAAGGGTTAGTTCAAGCAAAGCCTGCTGCGTTTGGGGAAGCCGATAAAGGGACAGCAGGGAACAGTAAGGCCCTATCCCTGAGAGGCCTCATCTGCTGGGCCAAGGGATTCACACTTAATCTGTGGCTCCTGGGGTCTTTTTGTTTTTGGTACTGGGGATTGAATTTGGGACCTTGTGCTTGCCAGGCAGGAGGCAGAACCACTGAGCTAAATCCTAGGCCCATCCTGGGGTTTTATCTGAGGCTGTCTTACAGAATGAGGAGATCAGGTTACAGGTTCAAAGGTCACCAGGGCCCAGGTGAAAAATGACAAGGGTAGAGCTGCAAAGGAGAGATTGGAAAGAAATTAAGGAGGCAGAAATGAGAGCACTGTGACACTGGATATGAAGGAACAGAGAGAAGCCAGACTTCAGGCTGATTCCTAGATTTCTAGCTTGCAGACCAGGTGATTTTTTGTGTTATGGAGAAGAGGGAGAGCAGAGTCAGGTGGGGGGAGACGACACTATTGGTGTGCAGGGGCAAAATTTGAGATGATTTTTAGAGACACCTGCTGGAGGCTGACATGTCTGAAGGTAGATGTGTTTGTTGTTGGAAGTATGAGAGGGATGGGCTGCAGATGATCACTTTGGAGGTAACTAAGGTATGGGTGGTAATGAACCCTTGAGTCATTCATTTATGTCATGCACACTTGCTGGTCCTTCCTGAGGTGTAGATACTGAAGACCAGAGGAGAGATCAGATGTGAGCCCAGCCTTCAGGAGTCATGGGAGAGGCTGGGGCATCGACAGTGATACTGGAGGCACTGTGTGCACTTAGCCCAGCACAGAACCTTCTAGAGGACCAGGCCTGGGTTGGGGGCGGCTATCGGACAAGGCAGGCTACAAGCATGCCTTTGAAGATTGATAGGCTGTGCGTTGCCATGGAGAGGCTGCAAGGAGGAGGACCCAAGTGCTCACTGCAGAGCATCGGGAGTGAGAGTATCAAGGGAGTAAGCAGAGGCCAAGCACAGGGTCTGAGGTGCTGTGTGTTGGGAAGGGGGCAAAAGAAGTCAGGAGATTATGGTGGGGATGTGCTTGGGTCTGACCACAAGATCACTGGGGACCTTGGCACGAGCATCATTTGAAAACTGGGGCAGGAAGGTCGTTGCAGTGAGCTGAGAAGTAAATAGAAGGTTAAAAAAATATGCTTAGGCTGGGGGATTTAGCTCAGTGGTGCCACCGCCTGTCTTGCAAGTACATGGTCCTGAGTTCGATCCCCGGTAAGAAAAGAAAAATATGCTCAGGAAGTGTAGGAGATCTTTTTAGAATCTTGCCTGTGATAGGGAAGAAAAAGGGAAGTAGTTGGGTAAGGGGACCCTGTGGTTGAGTGGGTTGTGTGTGAAACAGCCTGTGCCAGGAGCTCAGTGTAGAGCACGTGCCTGGCACGTGCGACTCCCTGGCTTCCATCCCCAACACTGTAGAAAAACTAGAGGGAGAGGGGGAGGAAAGAAATAGCATATACCAAGGGGAAAGAAGGTAAAACCAAAAGGAAGAGAGGGGACCAGAGTGCTGGCAGCTCTGGCTGAGCTGGAGGTTGTGGACGCCCATGGGCAAGTGGAAGGTGCTCCAGTCCTAACTCCTGTGTCTGCTCAGATGAGGGGAAGCAAACTGGAGAGATGGGGAATTTGAAGCTTTGGCAGGGCTGATGGGAGGAAGGAGAGAGGGCAATGACCTGAGCACAGGGAGGATAACAGAAGGGCCCAATATTCCCTGAAGAACTGTAGACTAGGAATCTACTGTGTCCCCAGGGTCACTGCTCTCTCCAGTGACACTCAAGTCCCTGAGTGTGAGACGAGAAAGCACTTGGTCATGGTGGGCCAGGGGAGGGTATGGGGGGAGTGAAGAGGAAGAGGCGCCATCCCCAGTCAGCAAGCCCTGGATTTAGGCTGCGGGGGATGAGAGCAGTTCTGGAGGCCCCAGGGAAGCCTTTTTTTTGTCCCGGTCCTAGCTGCATTCCTTGCCATTCTCATTGTACAGCTTGTCCCTCTCCCTTCTCCCAGGGATAGAGCCCCAGGGCCTTGGCCCATGCCAGGCAAGCACTCCACCACTGAACTGTATCCTCACTCCTTTTTTTCTTTTGCACTTGGTACCTTCTGATTGGCAACAGGTGGAGGAGAAATCTTTTTTTTTTGTGGTACCAGGGATTGAACTTGGGACCTTGTGCTTGTGAAGCAGGCGGCAGAACCACTGAGCAAATCCCCAGCCCTCCTTTTTACTATTATTTTGAGACAGGGTCTCAATAAATGGCCCAGAATGGCTTCAAACTTAGGATCCAGTTGCTGGGACGGTGTCAGTGTGCCGCCATACCAGCTTTGGCTGTTCTCTCAAAAGCTTCCATTCGGTGTTCTCCATGTGCATCCATGTTACAAACACCTGAAATACAGCAGTGCCCAACTCTGAATTAGTCCCCTCCCCTCCTTGCTTACCCTTGGGAAAGAAGAGTTTTTGCAGGTTTGGAGATAGAAGCTCCTCAGTAAATTTTTGTCCCACTCCAAATATCTGTATGCAAAAATGCTCAGGGGCTATGCTTTATTTATTCATGTGTTTTTCCAGCTGATTGGTGTATCTTGACTATAGCATATCTGTCTCTTTAGAGGTGCTTTCCTGTCCTGACACACAAGGTGATGAACCTGCATTGTGTGAAGCCAGGGTGGGAGAGGAGTGGGTAGGACAGTCGTTCAACACATGGTATAGGACAGGATGCTGGGGGTGTGGAGGGAGAAAGGACACAGTTCTGTAGATTCTGGGGCATGAGAGGTGACGAGCACACGCAGCATAGATGCACAGGTGTCATCAATGGCTTTTAAGCAAAGCAAACAGGAAACACTACAGTGGTCTGGGTGGGGCTCAGCATTCTAATCAAGGGGCAAGTGCAAAGGCACCAAGGTGAGGAAACGATCCAACAAGGAACACAGGACAAGCACACAACTGCAGCCCAGAGCCTTGGAACTTGCCTGCAGGGTAGAGAGCTCTGACTGCCCAGGCTCCCAGTCCTGGGGTTTCACAGCACATATATTCTGAGCCAGCATAAAAAGGTAAGGGCAGCAGGAGACTGAGAGCAAAGAAAAGGTTTTATGGAGAAAGTCCAAAAATGAACATGTGGGACTAGGGTGCCAGCATGGGCCATGCCCTGGGCTCCATCCCTAGCACTGCAAGAAAAAACTTAACTCATAATGCATAGCTTAGATTTCTGGTTTCTTTTTTAAAGCAGAGCTTGCCCTGACCAAGCAGTGTTTGCAGAATCCTAGATTTTTATGATCTTTGTCTCCCTCATATTAGACTAAGAGGCTACACAAACCTCAATTTCTTTGCTCATTTTAGCTTTTCAGACAGTTGGCACTTTTGCATTTCATTTCCCTGGCTGGAGTAGGATTTACTTGAGTTACATAATTATAGTATCATGTAGAGTATAGGACAAATGTAACTTGGTAAATTTTTTTAATTAAATGAACATTTTATATGTATATTTATATGTATTTTATATGTGAAGGCACAAACCCAGGGCCTTATTCATGCTAGGCATGTGCTCTACCACTAAACCACAACCCAGCCTAAAATCTAGCTCATAATAGCATTTACTTCACATGATGGCAGCAGGTACCCTAGACTATGTGTCTGCCTGCTGTGGTTATCACCCATTGGGTCTAGAAAGGGTGCAGCAAGTGACATACAGGTCATTTAAGAAAGCATCTGTGCTATACTATTTCTACTACAGATTAAGAATCCTTTATCCATGGTGCTCAAGAACAGAAATATTCTGGGTTTTGGAATATTTACATAGAACATCCCTAATCCAAAAATCCTAAATCCAAAGCCTCTGAAGTCCAAATCTCCAGTGCTCACCAGGGATCAAACTCAGGACCTTGCATTTGCGAGGCAGGCACGGTGCCACTGAGCTAAAGGGCAGGCATGGAGGTATATGCCTGTAATTTTAGTGCAGGGGAGGCTGAGGCTGGAGGATTGAGTTCAAGGCCAGCCTGGACTGCACCTGCCTTAAAAAAAATAGTTGCTGATTTTGGAGAATTTCAAAATCTATAATTTTTAGATTATAGGTGTTCAACCTGTACCATTTCCATTTGGTCCTATATTACTGGGGATCAAACGCAAAGCCACATACATGCTTAGCAAGCATTTGTCACTGAACTACATCCTCTCCCCTTTTTATTACTTGAGACAGGGTCTTGCCTAGGTTGGCCTGGAACCTCCTGAATAACTGGGATTACAAGCATTGGCTACCACTCAACTTGTCCTTTTTATGCCTATTTTAAAGAAGCAAGTTATGTAATAAAATACTAGTAGGCCTTGGGGTGAGATAGATCTTTCTGTTCTAGAATTTTAGGCATCTTTAGTTTGTGCTTCTGGATCTGTTTTCTGTTATGAAATGGGTTGCTGGCCAGAAGTGGTGGTACACACCTACAATCCCAGCACTCTAGGAAGTTTAGGCAGGGGAATCACTAGTAGAGCGCCTCAGTAAAAAAAATTTAAAAACAGCTGGGGATGTAGCTTAGTGTGACGACCCTGGATTCAATCCAGCGCAGACAGACAGACATACACACACAGGAGGCGGGTGGGGGTATTGTTCTTATGCCTGAGGGCATGAATGAAGTGACTTAGGACAATTGCCCCATCACAGAGCTCATTCAATTCAGATCAGCCACTCTGGGTGTGCTGGGTCTAGAAGCCAGGACCTTGTGCCGAGCTAAGCACTTGATCTACCATTGAGCCACACTCCCAACCCTGAATGGCCACTCTTGGAGAGTCTGGTGCTGATCTGTTTCCTATACTTTGAGAAGTCAGGTTTCTAGGGCCAGGGATTTAGCACAGTGGTGCTGCTGCCTGCCTCACAAGCACAAAGTCCGGAGTTCAATTCCTGTACCAAAAAAAAAAAAAAGTTTCTAGCCCTTGTATCTCCACCTGCAGTGCCTGCCACCAACTGCCAGTGCTGGAAGCAAAGTCAGGACTCTGCTTTTCCTCTCTGCACTCAAGGATCGACATTTTGAAGAAGAGAGCCCAGGACCTGATTGAAAACATCAATGAGAACAGGCAGAAGGACCATGCACTCATGACCAACTTCAGGGACAGCCTCAAGGTCAAGGTACGAAGTCCCTGGTAAAGAGGGGCTTTTGTAAGGAGGATGAAGGCATGTGGCTGACCATATGCTTGTTCAGGCACTGTGCAGCATCTCATTTCACTCAACACTCAGGAAATGGGACTCATTTTATAGATGAGCAAACTAAGGTTCAGCGAGGCATGGTGCTACACACTTTAGTTCCAGCACTTTGGCTGCTAAAGCAGGAAGATCAAATATTCAAGGCTTGCCAAGTACGGTGGTACACACCTGTAATCCAGTGCTTGGGAGGCTGAGGCAGAAAGATCACCATGAGTTAGAGACCAGCCAACCAAGTTAGAGACCCGTCTCACCCAAACAAAACAAATACACCAACTAAGGTTCAGAAATAAATGATTTGGGCTGGGGCTATAACTAACTCAGTGGTAGAGTGCTTACCTAGCATGCATGAGCCTTTAGGTTCCACCTCCAGCACTGAAATGTACTGATTTAATTTAAAAGTTAATTAAATTAAAAAGAAAAGAGATAAAGTGTTCACCACGTGAGGGATTCAGACCAAGGCATTCAGGTTTATGTATAGCCAGAGCCCAGCCCTCTTACTGCCCCCAGGGCGAGTGCTGTGAGAGCAGGAGGTTGACCTGCTGCCTTTTGATTGCCATGTGTTCCCCAGAGACTGACGGGTCTGTGATGCAAGCCAGTCCCTCAGCATGCCTAGGGTTTCTGTCTAACAAGGCAGATATTAGTTATGCTTAACTCCAGAATTAATGGCCATGCCTGGTGCCTCTTAAGAGTATAATCAGCAGGGGGGGAATATTTTCTTTTCTTTTCTTTTTTTGTTTTTTTTGAGACAGGGTCTTACTATGTACTTCAGACTGCCCTGGAACTCACTGTGTAGCCCAGGCTGATCTCGAACTCACAGTGATCTTCCTGCCTCATCCTCCCAAGTGTTTGGATTACAGGTGTGCATGGAGAGAGTCAGTGCAGAAGACAGTTGAGGACGTCTACTCAAGGCCAAGACAAAAAAAGAAAAAATATTACCCTTACATACTTCCCCTAGACAGCCGGGCGTGGGGGCACACACCTGTAATAGCAATTGAGACCGGCCTGGGCTACGTAATGAGTTCCAGGTCAGTCTCAACTACATAGTACGACCCTGTCTCTAAATAAATAAATAAATAAATAAATAAATAAATAAATAAATAAATAAATAAATAAATAAGAAAGAGAGAGAGAAAGAAAGAAAGAAAGAGTCAGTCAGCCTGGACTACACAGTTAAGTTCATGGCTGCCTGAACTACATGGTAAGATTCTGTCTCAAAAAATAATTAAAAATAGAATACAGTTAGCAGATCCCTCAGTCAAACCTTTTTTTTATCTCTGTGGAACCTATAGATAGGAAGGGCCAAATGTATATTATTTGCATCTTGGTTCAAATTTCTAAAAAAATAATTTGAACATACAGGCACTTTTACCTTCAGTCACTGGGGTTTTTGTACCATTTCTGCAAATAAACCACTGCAATGTAAGATCCTCTTAGATGCCTTTTGATTTGCTAACATTTAATCTTTGCAAGGTCTCAAATCTGACAGAGAAGTTAGAGGACAGGATATACCAGGTTTACAGCTACGACAGCAAGATCATTCAGGAAAGATTGGAGGAATTCACCCAGAAAATGCTGCAGATCAGCCACCTGGAGATGGAGCTCAAAGAAGCATGCCACACTGTGGAGTCTGTGTACAGGGACCTGTGCATGCAGCCTGAGGTAGGAGCTATGCTAGTGGGGTAGGGGCATCACTCAGGAGAGTTTTGTGATGGCTCAGCTGAGAAAAAGCTGAGGCAGGAAGGAGGGATGTCAGAGATCACCCCTGGGGCCATGATCCTCTGGCACATGGTGTGTCCAAGCTGAGAAGCCAAACCACAGTCATTTCCTGTGGCTGTGGCTGTGCAGCCAGCTATGTGATGACAGGAAAGGTGGCCCTTGTAAGTTAGATACTGTCTCTTCTGTCATAGCCCGAACCTACACCTGGGCTGTCACCCCAGGACCTAGGTGGGGATCAGTCCAAATTTCAGACATGGGCCAGACCACTCCAGTGAGAAGCCCCACCCTGTCCCAGGGGCTCAGCCAGAAACACTTGTTTCTCCTCAGAACTCCCAAGACCCCTTCTCCAAGGTTCCCAGTAATTTGGCCCAACACTGCAGGGTCAGATGGGCAGATGCTTTATTTTTTCCTTCCCGCATCCTGCCCTGGGATGGAGGGCCAGAGACACTGCAAGCTGCGACCCAGGCTTGCAGCTAAGCCACTGTGCCACAGGTCACCTACTCCCAGCAGAGAAGCTTCTGCTGAGGTGAATGGAGCTAAAAGTGGACAGGACACTGGATAGGGAATCCCCTCTTTTCCAGAAGCTTATCTGAATGCCTTCCGCAGAGAGATACTGATATTTACTGGTTGCTGTTCCTCACTTCCTACTGTGGAAGTTAAGTTGTCCAACACCTCCTGCTCAGCCCAGAGCACGTAGTGTCAGGGCCTGGCCGGTGTCTCCCTAGAAGGTGGCTCTGGTGCCAAGTGGGTTCACTTGCCCGCTGTGATTGCCTGAATTCCTGTGATTGCCCGTCCAAGGATCAGTGCGTGGATGTCGTGTGTACCTGGACAGAATTAATACAGGTCAGCCTGGAAGTTTCACAGCTCATAATTTGCCATTAAAGCCCATCTTTGTGTCCCCCAGGCAACCACTTTAGAAGAGCAGACCTACAAAGATCTTGAATGCTAACAGATGGCTGGGAGATTTGCCTCCTAGTAACAGCCACCCAGAGACGGCTCGGAGCCCACCTTCAAGCCACACTGAGATTGTTTTCTACAGTTCTATAGTTCTATATTGCAAATAGGCAAAAGCAAAACAAAACAACAAAAAAAAAATAAAGTTCTTGATGTTAAAGTCTAAGATGCAGCAAGTGTAGGCCCCACTGTGGGTCTAGCCTTAGCCTGCAAGTTGATTAAGTGTTTGATTTTCAACTTGCCACACTTCCTACTGTAGCAGCGGGGACTTGACAGCCCTTGTTCCCCCTGGGAGAATGGGAAGACAAACATGAGAAAGGCTGTGGGCTGTCCCTGTGGATCCCCACCCTGAAATGGTCATCCACACCACATTCCCTCATGTGTAGTGCAGGCTGGTCTCAAACTCACAGTGATCCTCCTGCCTCAGCCTCCCAAATGCTGAGATCGTAGGTGTGTGCCACCATACTCAGCATTTTGATTATCTTTTTCCTTGTCTGTCTTTGCACCAAGCCAGGGGTCCAGGTCCCCGTGGGAGACATTACTATTGTAAGGGGCACACACTACAGTCATCCTCTTCCTTTGTCTTGAACATGAATGGAAGGGGCTGCTGTGTGTCACTTACTCCCTGGTGTCCACCAGTCTGGTGAGAGTCCCATCCCTAGGGGATGCCTTACAGGCTGTTCCTCTGACACAGTGGACACTGGAAGACAGGGCCTGATGGGGCCCCTGGGCAGTGCTTGGTGAGCAACCGCAGGTCACACTACCACTTGTCCCCTTCCCCAGACCCTGGGTACCGAGGCTCCACCCAGGCCTGGCCCTACCTTCATAGGTGTTCACCGCCTCCAGGTTCATGGCATGCCGGATCACATGGTACTCATCCGAAATCCCATTACCACCCAGCACGTCTCGGGCCTGGCGTGCGATGTCCAGGGCTTTCCCACAGTTGTTCCTCTTCAGCAAGGAGACCATCTCCGGGGTGGCCCTGGGAGTGGCACATGCATACTGCAAGCACTGAGTCCCAACACCCTGAGCAAATCCGGCTGGGGCTGGGAGTACTCCTCAGTGCCACCGAGTCTCCAGTGAGTAATGGGACTCAGGACCACAAGCAGATAGGACCTTATGCCCAGGGGCAAAGGGCCTTTCTGCCATAACTGCCGCAACCCACCCAAACCCCAACCTGTCTTGGTCCTTGAGGCGGCCCAGCCGTAGGCAGGCCTGGAGGCCCAGTGTGATCTCAGTCAGCATGTCTGCCAGCTTCTTCTGGATCAGCTGATTCTTGGCCAAGGGGGCACCAAACTGGATCCTGGTGGGGGAGTCAGGAAAAGGCTGGAGGGAGGCCCATTCCCCTCAGTCCCCAGCATTGCACCCTGTTGCCCAGGAAACCTTCAGAGCTGCCCTAGCTCTGCTCAGAGGGACTTCACGGGCTACTTCACAAAGCAAGAGACTTAGGCCTGGGGGCAGTGACCCCCACGCACCTGTCCAGGGTATACTGCCGAGCCGTGTGCAGGCAGAACTCAGCCGCTCCCAGCACGCCCCACGTGATGCCATAGCGGGCGTTGTTGAGGCAACCGAAGGGGCCCTGTAGGGTTGAGGGGGGTTCAGTCCCACCCAAGACCCGCTAAGAGGGCCTGTGCAGAACCAACACTCTCCCTTTTGTTGTGGTGCTGGAGATGGAACTATGGCCATGTGTTCTTGTTTTTTTTGGTACTGGGGATCCAACTCAGGACCTTGCACTTGCCAGGCAGGCACAGTGAAATGCTTGAGCTATACCTCCAGTTCTATTTATTCTGAGACAGGGTCTCACTAAATGGTCCAGGCTGGGTTGCCTGTTTCTTACTATTTTTGTGGTATTGGGGATCAAACTCAGGGACATTCTACTATTGAGCTACATTTTAGGCCTTATTAATTTTTTATCTTTGAGGTAGGATTTTTCTGAGTTACCCAGGCTGGCCTAGAATTTGTGATCCTCCTGCTTCAGTCTCAGTAGCTAGAGTTACAGGCATATACCACTGTAACTGGCTGCCTGCTTATTCTGAATTTGCACACAGTCCTATCCTGCCTGGGGTTTGATCAGTGCTCAGATCTAGGAGGTTGATGTACACAGGACAGAAAGATGCCCATGAATGCAAGCTGGAAACTGGTTCTGGCCCTAGGGAACCTAGGCAGAGCCAATATGAGCCTGTTATGAAAAAGGGGTGGCTGCTGGGCGTGGTGGTGCAGGCCTAATCCCAGCACTTCGGAGGCTGAGGTAGGAGGATTGCTGTGAGTTCAAGACCAGCCTGGGCTACATAGTGAGTTCCAGGTCAGTCTCAACTACATAGTGAGACCCTGTCTCAAACCAAAAAAAAAAAAAAGGGTGGCTGGCACAACTGGGAGGCGGGCAGAGCCTCAAAATCACCTGACCATATTGTCTAGACGGGGAAAGTGAATCAGCAGGAGAACAATGCCAGTCCCCAGTGCCCACACTCACCGCCAGGCCAGCCACGTTAGGCAGTATGTTCTCCTCTGGCACATCCACACTGTCCATGATGATCATGCCTGTGGCTGAGGCCCGCAGGGAGAATTTGCCCTCAATCTTGGGGGCTGAGAGGCCCCGCATCCCCTTCTCCAGCAGGAAGCCCCGAATGCGGGCATCTTCACACCGAGCCCACACTACAAACAGGTCAGCCACCGGTGAGTTGGTGATCCTGGGGGTGGGTGGTCAGTGAGGGGTTTGGCTGCTGCCTCACCTCTGTCCACCACCTGCCACCACCCAGCTCCTTACCAGGTCTTGGTCCCACTGAGGGTGTAGCTCTTGCTTGCTGGGTTGTAATGGGCCCTGGTCTCCATGCTGCTGGGGTCACTCCCGTGGTTGGGCTCTGTGAGCCCAAAGCAGCCCAGAAGCTCCCCCTTGGCTAAAGGCAGAAGACACGGTCACCAGGTTTCAGGTCCCACTCATCCTGTCAAAACTGATCAGTCCATGGACAGTTGCTCATCTGGGCCTGGTGGTGCATGCCTATGATCCCAGCGCTCGCTCGGTAGGCTGAGGCAGCAGTCAGGGTCAGCCTAGGCTACATAGTTCAAGGCCAGCCTGAACTGCAAGATAAGACTCTCAAAAAAGTAAAAACAATGGGTCAGGGATTTATCTCAGTGGTTCTGCCACCTGCCTTGCCAAGCACAAGGACCCGAGTTCTATTCCCAGTACTAAAATAAAAACAAAAAACCACGGACAGATGCTCACCCAGCCGGGGCAGGTACTTCTGCCGCTGCTCCTCGCTGCCATAAGCATAGATAGCATGCATAACAAGGGAGGACTGCACGCTCATCACGGACCTGTAGCCGCTGTCCACCCGCTCCAGCTCTCGAGCCAAAAGCCCATATGCCACGGAGGAGACCCCGGCACAGCCATACCCTGTGGGAGCCGAGAAGGGACAGAGGCGGAGCTAGACAGGCCATCGAGTAGGAGCTGCCCTGCTGCGGGCTTATTCACCAAATCCCTGCAACCACTTCGGAAGGAGGAATGACCAACCCCATTTTATAGATTTGAGGCAGGCAGTGGCACCACTGAGCTAAATCCCCAGACCTATTTTACGGATTTGGACCCTGGCTCAGGGAAAGGAAGGGGCTTTTCAGGGGCCGGCTGCATTTGCAGCACACAGAGGAACGCATCCCTACCTTTGATAGTGGGTCCCAGCACACCCAACTCCCCCATCTCAGTGACGATCTCCCGGTGAAAAACTGCGAAGGAGGGCGCAAATGCAGACTGTCAGGTCCGGCCAGGCCCACTTGAGCCCCGGCCCGCCCTCTGGCTCCGCACCTTCGTTGCGGTTGGCCATCAGGATGCGAGGCAGGAGTCGCTCCTGGCAATAGTTTCGGAAGGTGTCCCTCATGAGGATCTCGTCCGCCTTCAGCTGCTCCTCCAGCACCAGTGGGTCCCGCCAGTCGAACTCGGGACGCGATGCTAGCGGAGAGCGAGGCTTGCTCACCCGGCCACACTGCGCATCCCCTCCCCAGACCTAACATCCCTGGACCCCTCCTCCAGCACACAGGGACTACGAAGGCGACCCTTCTCTAGCCCCGCCCCTTGGCGCCCTCGACCCGGGCAAGGCCGGCTCCGGGGCACCCGGGGTCCTTACACCAGGCGGGATAGGTCTGTGTTCTCCCACCCTAGTTTGCAAACAGCATGGGAAGTCACGCCGGAAGACACCCCTCCCCAGCGCAGTCGTCCCACTCCCTCGGGCCTCGACAGACCTGTGTGCGCGGCCGCCGAGCCCCACGCGTGCCGGACGCGGAGGTGGGGCCCGCGGCTCAACAGTCGCGAGGCGACGCCTCTCAGGGCCATGCAGGCAGAAGGCGAGAAGCAACCACGGTGACCTGGAAGAGCAGGAAGGAGCCGTAAAGGCCGAACGGCTCCTGCCGAGAGTCCCGGCCTCCAAGCGTTTCCCAGCTGGCGCCCGGAGCGTAACTCTAAGTCCAAAGGGCAACAAAAGAAGGCTTTGACCCCAGCCGGAGGCGGGCGGAGCCAAGAGAGATTGGCGCTTCTCATTGGTTTCTTGAAGAACCTGGGTTCCCTGGGATTCCCTACGCGCTTCCGCACGCAGAGGCGGAGGCACGTTTTTAAGAAGCGAAACAGAAAAGGGGAAGCAAGCAAATGCGTTAACCCGATTGGCTGAATGTACCAGGCCTTAAAAGGGGCTCTGCTGTGATTGGCCTTAAAAGGGGCTCGACTCACTCCTGGTTAGCTAGATAGGAGTGGGGGTGGGGGGGGGTCTTTTTTTGTGCCTGAGTAACTGTGTATCTGTAGGTGGGACTGACTCCGTGACTTATGAAGCTAGTCCCTGTGTGGTTGTGTTTATGTGGGATTCTGCCTCTGGAATGTTGTGTAATTCTGGCATTGTGTGTTTGAGTGTATTTTTTTTTCTGCATAGCTGTATGCTCTATTTTGTGGGATTGTGTGTTTCTATCTTGTTCTATGACTCTGGTTGTGTTCTGTGGTTCTGATTATAATTGTGTGTAGGAGTGGTACTGTTAATAGTTGTCCTTACCAGCATGTTCGTGTTCTGTACCAGCATTATAAGTGTGTTTGTGGTCCTGTAACCCTTCCTGAAACAGCCAACATACGTATATGATTGTGTCTGAGTGGTTGCAGGAATGTGTATGTTGTGACTGTC